TAATCTATTTATATGATTATTTATGATATTATATGATTATTATTAATTATACGACTTTCTTTAACACAGCTGCTATTTTGAGTGTTACGATTCCTCCCATTCTTTTCTCTAGAAATGGTTTGTCTCACTATACTGTCTCTGATGTGGTCCACTAGTGGGCAGATCACTCGAGACGGATGTTAATAGCAGATATGAATGGGGGCTGTAAATCTCAGCTCTTTGCTGAAAAGACACATATCTGACAATACAGTCTTGTAATTTCTAAATGACTATGTATACTATCAATCTATAACTCTACAGCCAGAGGACGTTTTATAACCTGTGTCCAACTGCATTAATGCGGTATCACCTCTATAGAGGACCAGACTCATTAAATCCATGACATACATCTGAAATTATGCCACTGGATGATAACCCTGCTCTGACACAGAAGGTGACAAATTGGGTTTTGTGCTTCAACACTCATTTCGAGTCTATTAATAGTGACGTGCATAATTAACGGTAATTTATTACAACCTCAGCGCCTAGCGAATGTGTACATGATATTGCTAATCTGATTTATCAGGGCCAATTCACGCTACCTGCTTTTAATTAAAGTATGGTGTTGGAGAGCAAGCAGCCAGAGGGTGAGAACCACGGCTCAGGAAGCGCTGTAATGAAGACTAGTATATGAGGAAATGCAGTGTGATAGGAGGAACTTACCATCAGGCTCCGAGTCGCTGTCTGCCAGGGCAGGAATGCGCACCAAGATCTGTCGGTGGTCTCTCTGGACCACCAGTTGCAGCCTGCCCCGTGATTTCTCAATCAGCTTGCCAGCGTCACTCAGAGAGAGGTTCTCGGTCACCGTCCCGTTGATCTGAAAAAAAAAAGACATATCATTATTGGTTCAAGTCTGATGTTAAGGAGTTTGAGTGGAGATGTGTGAATGGTTGATGGACATTTACATTAACAACACTGATATTCATCATTAGAACAAAATAAATCATAATTATTGATAACGTCCCCTGATACTGTCACTGCAAGTACTATTACTATTAATAGTATAGTAATAGAATAAATTTAAAAAACATAAAAAAAAACAATTTTTGTTCCTTAAATGTTAACTACAATAACAAAATATTAAAAAACAGTTCTCAAAAAATATTATTATATAAAAATATAATATTCAAAATTTAAGTGTGAACAAATGACACATTTATATTTATATTACATCTTATTATTTTTTATTTTATATTCTCTATTTTTTACAAAGTTAATTTTTAAGTAAATATTATGTAAAAATTAAATAAAAGTATTGTAAAATAATGTAAATGTATTGTATTTCATAAATTGTTTGTATATCATTAATATTTTAATTGTGTAATATCATTAATGTATCCGCATTACATTGGCCATCAGCCACCATGGTCTATACAGCTTTATTTTGGTATTATTTATATAATATTATAGTATTTATTAATATTTTGCATTGGGTTTTATTTTTATTTTACGTTTTAATTTATTAGTTTTTTTAATGTTTTTATATATAGCTTTAACTTATTTTTATTTCAGTTTTAGTTGTATTAATTTAGCACTTTAACTTTATTTCAGTTATTTGTTGATTATAGTTTAAGCCTTTTAATCTAATATTTATTTATCTAATAAATATATAATATTTATATATATATTATCTATTATTTATACCTATATTACATTTTATTTTATTTTAATTAATTTTTTCATTTAAATGTAATACTTTTTCAGCTTTATTTAACAAAAATGATTCTTAATAGTGCTCTAGATATTGTCACCAGTCACATGAATCTGCCATTGAATATGTATTAAAAGAAAGCAGTAAATCCAGCACTTTTATGACAATTTCACAGAATTAATGTGTTAACAGGGCTGTTGTGTGAAGGGTCTGATAGGCACCTTGAGAATGATGTCGCCCTCTTGGAGATTTCCATCTTTGGCAGCCAATCCAGTGCTGGTCATCTCTTTGATGAAGATCTGGCTGCCCAGCCGGAGGCCATACTCTACAGCAAATCAGAACGAAACATTGGTTCTGTGCAGAAACACTAACATGATCCTAACATGAACCTAACAGCCATGATGACTGTTACGTTCCCTGGGAGTTGTTGTTTTTGCTTGTGTTTTGTGCAGTAACCAGCGATTCGTTTGCCAAAGACCACACTTTATGCAGTCGATCGCGGAATCTACTAACATACTCCAGCACATTCATTTTGGGGGTGGAATCAAAACTTAAGATTTTCTCTTTGAGTACTTTCAGCGGTTTGAGTACTGTATGCCCAAACACCAACTCCGCAGGACTAAACCCCAGACTCTCTTGTTTCGCCTCCCAGGCAGCAAATAGAACTAAAGGTATTCCCTCATCCCAGTCATTGCCTGTATCTAAACAGTACTTTCTTAGCATCGCTTTTAAGGTCTGATGAAATCGTTCCAGTGCGCCTTGACTCTCTGGATGGTATGGGCTGGCAACCCGATAGGAAATGTTTAATGTCGACAATACCTGTGTGAAGATTTTAGAAAGAAAATTCGTGCCCTGATCAGTCTGTACTACCTTAGGCAGCCCGAACATAGAAAAGAATTTCACCAGTGCCCGAATAATAATAGGCGCCGTGATTTTCCTTAGCGGAATAGCTTCGGGAAACGCGTTGTGCCACACATAACTGTCAGCAAAAATTGATTCCCTAATTTCGTTCTGGGCAACGGGCCCACACAATCTACAATTACATGTTCAAACGGTTCCCCCATAGTTGGAATAGGAATAAGTGGAGCAGGAGGAATCACCTGGTTCGGCTTTCCAGCCGTCTGACATGTGGAGCAAGTACGACAAAAGCGAGCAACATCCGTTTTAAGACGTGGCCAAAAAAAGTGTCTCAAAATTCGATTGTAAGTCTTTCTAATTCCAGTATGTTCTGACAGATCATGGTCGTGAGCTAACGATAAGACTTGCTGTCTATAACAGGAAGGAATAACAATCTGATAAACCACATTCCACTCAGTGTTATCTGCCGTGTCTGCACACCACTTACGCATCAAAAGTCCGTTCTCAACAAAATACGCAAATTTTCGTTTCCGTGCCTCCTCTAAAGGAACCACTACCGAAAAACAATTTTGCAAAGTCCCATCATTTTGTTGGGCAGAGATTATTTTCTCTCGGGACATTGGTAGCTTTAGACAATTCGAATTCGAAGAGTCTAAATTTTCAACTGGTCTACTCAAATCAAATTCTGTGATATCCTCCTCAGCAGCAAAGATAGGTGAGACAAAAGTAGAAAC